GCCTTACCTGGCCTTGCCTTGATTTGCCTTGCCTTGCATTGCCTGGTCTTGCCTGGCTTGGACTGACCTAGCCTGGCCTTGCCTGGCCTGGCCTGGCCTAGCCTGGCCTTACCTGGCCTTGCATGGCCTTGCCTTGTCTTTCTTTGCCTTGCATTGCCTGGTCTTGCCTTGCATTGACTTATCTTGCCTGGCCTTTCCTGGCATGGCTTGGCCTGGCCTTGCTTTGCCTTGCATTGAATTGCCTCTTCGTACCTTCCATTGCCTTGACTGGCCTGGCCTAGCCTGGCCTTGCCCTGCTTGATGTGGCCCTTCCTAGCCTTGCAGGGCTTTCCTTGCCTTGGTTTGCCTTGTCCTTCCTGGGCTGGCCTGGCCTTGACTTGCCTTGCTTTGCCTTGCCTTGCCTTGCCTTACCTTGCCTTACCATGCCTGGCCTTGTCTGGCATTGCCTTGCCTTGCCTTGCCTTGCCTTGCCTTACCATGCCTGGCCTTGTCTGGCATTGCCTTGCCTTGCCTTGCCTTGCCTTGCCTTGCCTTGTATTGCCTTGCCTTGCCTTGCATTGCCTTCCTTTGCATTGCATTGCCCTGCCTTGCATTGCCTTGCCTGGCATTGCCATGCCTTGCCTTGCCTTGCCTTGCATTCCCCTGCCTTGCATTCCCTTGCCTTGCCTTGCCTTGCTTTGCCTTGCCTTGCCTGCCCTTTCATTGCCTTACCCTGCCTGGCCTTGCCTTGCCTTCCCTTCCCTTGCCTTGCCTTGCCATGCCTGGCCTGGTGTTGCCTGTCCTGGTCTGGCCTTGCCTGTCCTTGCCTTTCCTTGCCTGTCCTTGCCTTGCATTGCCTTGCGTTCCCTTGCCTTGCCTCGCATCGCCTTGCATAGCCTCTCTTTGCCTTGCCTGGCCTGGAATGGCCTTGCCTTTCCTTGCCCTGCCTCACTTTCCCTTGCATTGCCTTGCCTTGCATTCCCCTGCCTTGCCCTGCCTTCCCATGCCTTTCTTTCCCTTGCCATGCCTTGCCTTGCCTTGCCCTGTCTTGCCTCGCCCTGTCTTGCCTTGCTTTGCCTTGCGTCTCCTTGCCATTCCTTTTCTTCCCTTGCCATGCCTTGCCTTGACTTGCCTTTTCTTGCCTTCCCTTGAATTGACTTCCCTTGCCTTACCTTCCCTTGTCTTGCCATGCCTTGCTATGATTTTCCTTCCCTTGCCATTCCTTGTCTTGCTTTGCCTTGCCCTGACTTGCCTTCCTTTGCCTTGCCTGGGCTTCACTTGCCTTGCCTTGCTTGGCCTTCCCTTGCCTTGCCTTGCCTGGCCTTCCCTTGCCTTGCCTTCCCTTCTCTGCCATGCCTTTAATTCCCCTGCCATGCCTTGCCTAGCCTTGCCTTGCCTTGCCTTTTCTTGCCTTCCCTTGAATTGACCTCCCTTGCCGTACCTTCCCTTGTCTTGCCATGCCTTGTTATGATTTTCCTTCCCTTGCCATTCCTTGTCTTGCTTTGCCTTGCCTTGACTTGCCTTCCTTTGCCTTGCCTGGGCTTCACTTGCCTTGCCTTGCTTGGCCTTCCCTTGCCTTGCCTTGCCTGGCCTTCCCTTGCCTTGCCTTCCCTTCTCTGCCATGCCTTTAATTCCCTTGCCATGCCTTGCCTAGCCTTGCCTTGCCTTGACTTGCCTGGCCTTGCCTTGACTTGCCTGGCCTTGCCTTGACTTGCCTGGCCTTGCCTTGACTTGCCTGGCCTTGCCTTGCCTGGCCTTGCCTTGCCTTGCCTTGCCTTGCCTTGCCTTGCCTGGCATGGCCTGGCCTGGCCTTCCCTTGCCTTGCCATGACTTGACTGGCCTTTCCTGGCCTAGCCAGGCCTGGACATGCCTTGCCTTGCCTAGCATTACCTTCCCTGTCCTTGCATTGCCTTGGCTTTCCTTGCATTTCCTTGCCTGGCCTGGCCTGGCCTGGCATGGCCTTGCCTGGCCTTGCCTTGCCTTGCCTTGCCTTACCTTGAGTTGCATTGCCTTGTCTTGCCATGCCATTTCTTGCCTTGCCTTGCCTTGCCTTCCCTAGCCTTGCATTGTTTTCCCTTGCTTTGCCTTCCTTTGTCTTGCATTGCCTTGCCTTGCCTGACCTTGCTTGACACAGATCTCTTGCTGTGTCATGTGCAGTTTGCCAGTTACTGAGGAAAGTATCCATGGGCTGGGAAAGGAAACAGCACAGGAGGGAATTTTTAGTTAATTGTTGCTCTTCCTGGTAAAACCTGTAGGGCTCTAGCATCTTGTTCCATATTTTCCGTGGTCACTGGAATGGGTTTCATTATTAAAAAAAGTATTTCATTTTCTACTTCCCTGTGTTCCAGGAGAAACAGCAACAAGGGCCTCCCCTTGTGCCACAGCTTGTGACACTGGGCAAGACATGATAAGAAAAACAGATGGGCTGGTACTTGTGGAGAAGCCTGTGGGCTGTAGAGCTTCATCAGGGACAAGGACAGGTTTCTGTGTAAGCACTGACTCAGTTCAGCCCAGCTGTGCTGTAGTGAAGAGCAGCACCCCTCGCTGCCCTGTGTGGAGTCGGGGCTGGGGTGCGTGCTCCCCACCCCTTCTCTCCTGCCTCCTTTGTCTGCAGTGAAACAGAAACTCTGTTCTCTGAAGAAATTCTTTCCCGTGAGGGTGGTGAGACACTGGAAAGTGTTTCGCAGAAAAGTCCTGCATGCCTCTTGTGAAACTGTTTAGAAAGAATGCTGAAAGAATCACTTCCACAGATACCAGCAAAAGTGACTTTAATGTGAATTTCTAAAAGCAGGATTCCTCAGGATTTGGTGGCGAGGCCCCACTCCACCATCTACAAAAAGAGATTGTGTCAGACTTGGCAAGGATTTATCCAGGACTGGATTCAAGTGATTTATACAGCATTCAACTGAAATCATGTGTATAGAAACTGCAGACAGAAAGGAATAAGGGAGAACCTCTTGTTGAGTCACGAGGTTCAAATTGGATCTCTTTGCTTTCTAAGCTCCCTCTCCGAGAGCAGTCTGCGTGCAGCTGCATTCCAACTTAGTCTCAGGCCTGGTATTCATCTAAAGGACCACAAATGCCAGCTAGCAGCAGTTTGCATTTGTAAACTCAATCACAGGATTTCTAACAGCACTTGATCACTGAAGCTAATATACACGCACCTGCAATTAAATATCCAACCTAACACAACACACTGAGATGGAGCTAGATGGCTGTGCACAGATCTAGATGCATCCCTATGCTAAAGCTGCCCTTGGCGCAGTGAAAAGTATAAATGGACAGGTTTCTGCATCAACGTAACTTGTTCAGCTGATTTCTATGCTCTAATGTATAGCAGAATTTTTAACAACAAACAGAATAGGATATAAATTAGAGAAATTAAGGTGGGATGTAAAATTCAACTTTAAAGCCCCAGTTGCTGTTGCTGACCATCCAAGCAGGGTATCCTACCAGAGATGTTGTCATGCTCAGTGTGTGGACTTCCCAGAGATAGGTTAATGGTTGGATTCGATGTTCTCAAAGGGCCATTTTCAAATTAATTGATTGATTGTAGGAAACAAGGAATTTTAGCCTCAAATCTTTGTATCATCAGGCTGTTTCCCATGGTGTTTCTCTGGAGCCCCAGGGAGCCGTGGAAGGAGCCCAGTGGGGCAGAGGCAGAGCCACCTTGGGCTGGGCCTCTGCTGCTGAGCTGGGACCGAGGGGAGACCTGTGAGACACAGGGAGCTTAAAGGCACTTGGCAGTGGAGGATGCTGAGGAGGAGGAGGAGGAACCTTCTGAAGGAGAAACCTTCCCAGCCCTGTTTGTGGTAAGGCACTGGGGGCAGGGCAATGCAGCTGCAGTTTCTCTCTGTAGATAAGGAGGAGGATGTGCTGCAGAGCAGGGCTTCCCCCTGCACCATGCAGGGACAGGACAAGGCAGGGCCCTTGTGCCGGGGCTGGCTGCAGGGTGTGAATGTGGGTGTGCAGCCAGGGGTGCCCAGCACTGCCCTTGCAGCAGGGTCCCTGCAGCCCAAAGGCTGTGTGCAGGGGCAGGGACTCTGCTGCCTACCAGGGTCAGCACTCGGCCTGCCCGGGAGCTCCCCATGGAGCTCAGGGGGAGCTGAGGGGAAGGGAACAGCCCCTGGCAGGGAAGGGAAGTGCTGGGTGGGTGACGCTGCTCCAATCTGCCATCACTCTGAGCACTTCTTCAGAGGCTCCTTCTGTAAGACACTGAGGCATCATTTACCTGATAGGGAAGGATGCTGAGCTTTGATGTTTTTCCCTCTTGGTGGGCAGGTTGGGCAGTGGGAGCTGGGAATTTTCTTCTCTGCTTTGGGGGAGGCACCGAGAGTCTTGTGAGGCCTTGTGTGAGCTGCTCCTGAGCCCCTGCACAGGCAGGGGTGTGCAGGGCAAAGCTGAGCACACAGCCCATGGCATGGGCTCTGGGAGCACTGAGAGGGAGCAGAGGTGGGCACAGGGAAGCAGCACCTGGCAGGGACAGCTCCAGGCAGCAGAGACATGGGCAGGGAGTGGGGGGAAAGTGCAGCCCAGCCCTGGGGAGGGTGCGTTCAGGCAGCTCTCTTGGGGTCTGCCACTGGAGGTGGCTGCTGGCTGTGCTCTGCTGCACACAGCCCTTTGCTTCTCAGCGTGAGAGCTCTGTGGACTGTCCTTTGAAACCGTTCTCCCCTGGTCTCAGCACAGGACAGATGTTTGTGGGTGTTCTTAAGATCAATTTGCGTGTGAAAGCACCTTACAGGCAGTGCAAGTTTGAGCACAGGGCAAGTGGGAGAGGACTGATGGACACTGCAGCTCTCTTGGTTCTGCAAAGAACTGAGACTTTTTGCCTGATGCAATGCTCTTCTGATTGTACCTAGGAAGAAGCCTCAGCAGTGTAATGACATGACTGGTGACGACGCTAAACCTCTCCTCTCCTGCTAAAATGTGCTCAGTTGTGAATGTGTAAACTGAACTTCTGTATCTGACATCCCTCCTGTCCTGACCTGTCACTGCCTTTTTCTCCTCTGACGGTGCCCAATGCCCAGAGGCAGCAGATGTCCAACGGCAGCTCCATCACCCAGTTCCTCCTCCTGCCATTCGCACACACGCGGGACCTGCAGCTCTGCCACTTCTGGCTCTTCCTGGGCATCTCCCTGGCTGCGCTCCTGGGCAACGGCCTCATCATCACCAGCACAGCCTGCGACCAGCGCCTCCACACCCCCATGTACTTCTTCCTCCTCAACCTCTCCCTGCTGGACCTGGGCTGCATCTCCACCACTGTCCCCAAATCCATGGCCAATTCCCTCTGGGGCACCAGGGCCATCTCCTACACAGGTTGTGTTGCACAGCTCTTTTTCGTTGTCTTTTTCATCTCAGCAGAGTATTTTCTCCTCACTGCCATGTCCTACGACCGCTACGTGGCCATCTGCAAGCCCCTGCACTATGGGACCCTCCTGGGCAGCAGAGCTTGTGTCCACATGGCAGCAGCTGCCTGGGGCACTGGGTTTCTCAGTGCTCTGCTGCACGTGGCCAATACATTTTCACTGCCCCTGTGCCGAGGCAATGCTGTGGAGCAGTTCTTCTGTGAAATCCCCCAGATCCTCAAGCTCTCCTGCTCACACTCCTACCTCAGGGAAGTTGGGCTTCTTGTGGTTGGTATCCTGATTACTGTTGGCTGTTTTGTTTTCATAGTGGGGTCCTATGTGCAGATCTTCAGGGCCGTGCTGAGGATGCCCTCTGAGCAGGGACGCCACAAAGCCTTTTCCACGTGCCTCCCTCACCTGGCCGTTCTCTCCCTCTTTGTCAACACTGCTGTCTTTGCCTACTTGAATCCCCCCTCCGTCTCCTCCCCATCCCTGGATCTTGTGGTGTCAGTGCTGTACTCGGTGGTGCCTCCAGCAGTGAACCCCCTCATCTACAGCCTGAGGAACCAGGAGCTGAAGGATGCTGTGAGGAAGCTGGTGACCAGATATGTTTCAGCAGATATATGCTGCTTCTTTTACCCTGGAAAGGGTTTCCAGTGTAGGTCATGACAGACCATGTCTGTCTTTCCTGCTTTACATTTGTTTTCCTATTTCAATTTGTGATGATGTTGTCTTCATAGAAATGTCAGTTTTCATTTCCTAATTAAGTTGCCACTCGTGCTGTGTGACCCACAGACTTTGTGTCACTCTGGTCTCTGATTGTATTTAAGGGAAATAAATGATCCTGCAGCAACTTCTTCTCTGTGATACGTCCTCACATGTCAGGAATGAAGGGGAATGAAAGCAGCTTTCTGTCTGCTCCAGCTCTGGGATGGCTGCTCTGTGCCTGCAGCAGGAAGAGCTCTTGGGGAGCCCAATGAATGGGGCTGTTGTGCTGGTGTCAGGAGATGGGATGGCATGGGGGGGGGGGGTTCAGAGCTCTCAGGGTGTCCTGGGCAGGAGAGCAGGGGACACAGGGGTCCCTGCAGGGAACTCCCCTGCAATGGCCCAGGCTGGGGCTGCCTGGTGTAGAACAGCCCATGGGAAAGGTCTGGGTGGGCAGGAGCTGGACAGGAGGCAGCAAGGGAGGACAGCAGCATCGTGGGCTGTATGAGCAGGAGCACGGCAGGAGAACAAGGGAAGGGATGATCTGGAATCCTCCATCCAGGTTTCAGATCCCCAGTTCAGGAGTGGGTTTAGTAATGGGCCCTCAGGTCAGGAGATACTGGAGCACGATGCCTGTGGGCAAAGTTTGGGGGAGCTGGGCTTCTCCAGCCTGGAGAAGGGGAGGCTCGTGGGGACCTGAGATCTTGGGTAGGGAAGGCTGTTGGGGACTGGCTGCCTGTAGTGGCAAGGAGGACATGGGGAATACAGAGCCAGGCTCCTCACCATGGTGCCTGGTGGGAGGACAAAAGGCAGTGGGGGATAGTGACAGAGGAGAGGTTCAGGCAGGACAGAAGGAAACCTTGTTCCCATCGGCTCAGGCAAGGGCTGCATCAGGTCACCCAGAGTGGCTGTGCAGTCTCTGGCCTTAAGGATTGCCAACTCAGACTGAATCAAGCCTTGAAACACTTGCTCTGACCCTGCTCCTGGTGGGTTTGACTTGAGATATCCTGGGGTCCCTTCTAACCCTTGTTCACTTCTGATCCTACAATGATGGGCTTATGAAGAGTCACGAAGATGCTCTAAGGGCTGGAACACGTCTCCAATGGAAACAGGCTGAGAGATGTTGGTCTTCAGCCTGGACAAGAGAAGGTTTCAGGGAGACATCTTAGCAATCTTCCCGTGCCTAAGCAGGGCCTACAAAGAATCCGGAGAGGGGCTTTTTATGAGGCTGTGCAGTGACAGGACAAGGGGGAATGGATTTAAGCTGAAAAAAGGGAGATTTAGCTTGGACATTCAGATGAAGTTGTTCCCTTTGAGAGTGGTGGGCCACTGGCACAGGGTGCCCAGAGAAGCTGTGTCTGCCCCATCCCTGGCAGTGTTCAAGGCCAGGTTGGATGGGAGTCAGCTTTGTTCTGAAGCAGTGCTTTGTCCACCTCTGATGCTCACAAGGGATGACAGATGAAATCCAATTTCATTGTAAAGTTCACTACTTGTACTCATGACTCGAGTTTGGGCTGCACAAGAGAGGTTCAGCATGGCCTTAGAGTTATTTGGACTGTGTTATTTATTTACTGGCATAACACTTTTGGGGGGGGGAATGGGACTATAAAACATTCTTTGTATGACATAAAATCAGAACAGTATTGAAACAGGGAGAAGTTCTCAGCTCCTTGTAGCTTAGTGCAGAGCAAGGAGGGCTGCAGTGTCCATCAGTCCTTTCCCATTTGCCCTGTGCTTACAACACTTGTATATGATGCCTTCACACACAAATTGGTCTTAAGAACCCCCCCAAACACCTGTCCTGTGCTGAAAGCAGGGGAGCACGGTTTCAAAGAGAAGATCACGGAGCTCTCGTGGAGAGAAGCAAAGGGCTGTGGGCAGCAGAGCATGGCCAGCAGCCACCTCCAGTGGCAGACCCCAAGAGAGCTGCCTGAATGCACCCTCCCCAGGGCTGGGCTGCACTTTCCCCCCACTCCCTGCCCATCCATATCTCTGCTACCTGGAGCTGTCCCTGCCAGGAGCTGCTGCTCTGTGCCCAGCTCTGCTCCCTCTCAGTGCTCCCAGAGCCCATGCCATGGGCTGTGTGCTCAGCTCTGCCCTGCACACCCCTCCTGGCAGCAGGGCTCTGCCCAGGGGCATCTCTGCCTCTGCAGGAACCTCACACCTGGCACTCAGTGGATCCATCAGTGGTGAATGGAGAAACATGGTCAGCCCCTGAGGAAAGCCTTGAGAGCTTCTTAGCTCTTCAGTTACTTACTGGTGGCAATGAGCAGTGTGTAGGGAGGTGAAAGAGGGTGGAGCGAAGTCAGCAAGAAGCAAAGTGATGGTTCAGGGCTTTAACAAATCCTTACAAGCATGACAGAGCCCATCAATGGGGAGCAGTTGGTGTCTGTAGGTGGAGGAGGAGTAGGTGTTCCTGGAGTGTGGCTGCAGGCCCTGGACAAACCAGAGGCTATCTGAGAACTTTCCCTCATGGGAACATGCCTCAGCGTGGCACATGGGGAATGCCCACTGCTGCGGGTGCCTGAACGCTGCTCATCGTGCCCCATGAGCCCACCTTCCTGTCTCCCTCTCCTGCACTACCCAAACTTGCCTGGAATGCAGGATCCATCCCTGAGCCTGGGGAATGCAGGAATGCTCCAGGAGTCCCTGCAGGGGGACCAGCCTCTGCCCAGCTGGCTCAGGGAGGTCCCTCACGGGCTGCTCTTCCTCAGTGCCTTTGGTCCGGAGGTGGAGCATGCGAGGGGTCACAGCTCAACGTGGGACATGGAACAGGGCGCCACGGCCACCTACGAGGAGTGGAGAGGGACCGACATTGGCACAGCAGAGAATCATGGAATCCCAGAGTGGGTTAGGGTGGAAGGGATCTTAAAGCTCATTGAAAGCGCTACGACAGGTAGGGACATTTTCCACTAGAACAGGTTACTCATGTGGTCTCTCCCGGAGCACCCCTGTGTGCACAGTGCCACCCCAATAACAGCACAACCCCCCCCAAACCACCTTGTCCTGCTTCTCCTATGGGATACAGGGTCAGAGCCTCAAAACAGACCCAAAACAGGACAAAAACACCCCAAAAAACCAGCCCAAACCCATCTTCTCCTGCTTCTCCTATGAAACTCAGGGTCAGAACCAAAAAACAGCCACACAAACAGGACAAAACCACCCCAAAACCACCCAAAACAAGACCAAAACACCCCCAAACCACCCCAAAACTATCCCAAAACCACCTTATCCTGCTTCCCCTGTGGGATACAAGGTCAGAGCCCCAAAAATGGACAAAAAAAGCCCCAAAGCACACCCAAAACCAGCCCAAAAATGCCTTCTCCTCCTTCTCCTACGGGATATAGGGTCAGAGCCCCAAAACAGCCGTAAAACAGCCCAAAAACAGGGGAAAACCAGACCAAAACATGCAAAGAAAACCACAAAAAAGGCCAAAATCACCCCAAAATCACCTTGTCCTGCTTCTTCTTTGGAATACAGGGTCAGACCACCAAAAAGACCCAAACAGGACTAAACAGCCCAAAACCACTCCCAAAACAACCCCAAAACACCAAAAAAATCACCCTAAAACCACTTTATCCCGCTTCTCCTATGGGATACAGGGTCAGACCCCCAAAACAGACCCAAAACAGGACAAAACTAACCAAAACCACCCACAAAACACCACCAAACACCACCAAAACCACCTTGTCCTGCTTCTCCTGTGGAATACAAAGTCAGAGCCCCTAAACAAACCCAATAGAGGCAAAAACCAGGCCAAAACCAACCCAAAACCCAGAAAACAGCCAAAACCACCCCAAAACCACCTTGTCCTGCTTCTCCTATGGGATACCGGGTCAGACCTCAAAAACAGGACAAAAACAGCCCACACCCACACCAAAACCAACTTCTCCTGCTTCTCCTGTAGGATATAGGGCCAGAGCCCCAAAAGAGAGGCATAAAACAGGAGAAAACCCAAAACCACCGAAAAAAACAAAACAAACCCAAACCACACCAAAAACACTTTGTCCTGCTTCTCCTAGGGGATACAGGGCCAGAGCCTCAAAACAGCCAAAAACACCCACAAAACAGGAGAAAACCAGCCCCAAACCACCTTGTCCTGCTTCTCCTGTGGGGTACAGGGTCAGAGCCCCAAAACAGCCCCAAAAGAGAACAAAACCACCCCAAAACATACCAAAAACCATGCAAAAACCACCTTCTCCTTCATCTCCTGTGGGATACAGGGTCAGAGCCCCAAAACAGACCCAAAACAGGCCAAAACCAGACCAAAACCAAAACAAAACAGCCAAAACAGCCCTTCAGAAAACCACAACCACCCCAAAAACACCTTATCCTGCTTCTCCTGTGGGATACAGGATCCATCCCTGAGCCTGGGGAATGCAGGAACCTCCTGCAGTGGAGGTGCAAAGCTTCTGTGAGACACTTGTGAGTGCGGGCAGAGAGCGGGGTGTGCGCAGCAGAGAGGGTGCTACAGGCAGGAAGCTGTCCCAGATGAGGTGCCTGTCCCCAGAGCATGGGGTACCTTGCACCCAAGGACACCACCTTTCCTTTTGGCTTTTGCCAACAAGTTCTCAATCCAGACCATTGTGTTTTCCCACTGCTCTCTCATGGTGCTTTTTTCTCTATACTGATTGCATCACCTATTCCTCTAGAAGCCTCCTTTAGATCAGCTTGCTGAGGGGTATTCACTCCACCTGCTGAATTGACACTGTAGTAGCAGCCTACAACTAGGTGAAATGTGGCTGCAGAGATGATGGAGGTTTTCTTGCTAGCAGGAAGAGAAGGAAACCTCTGCAAAGTGCAGCTTGGAAGGTTCAGACTCAAAGTTAGGAAAGAGAAATGTCTCTCAAAAGGTGGACTTGTGGTGCAAGAGGTCACCCAGAGGGAGTCTGGCTCAGCCCATGGCTTTGTGTTTCAAGGAACAGACAGCGATGGGTGCAGAGATGGGACTGAAGGTACAGAAATGCCAGGTGAGAGCTAGGTGGGAAAGCAAGATGGGGGTCAACAGCCTGAAGGGAAAGAGGTGAAGGCATGGGCCAGTGTAGGACAGCCTGCAGCAGAGATGACAGGGTTCTGGCATGGCTGAAAGGCCCAAAAGAACAAAAGGCCTCTGTGCCCTGGGCTATGGCAGTTGCCTCTTTCATCAAGACCTATGAGGAGAACTTTCATCCTCAGGATTTCAGGCTCTGCTTCTCCAAGGGCTGTGGTCAGGGCTTGGCCTTTCTGCATCATCAAACAAACCAAGGGTTTTCTCACCATCAGACACCTGCACTTTGCCTTTGTCTCCCTGTAATCACAGCCTGCAGTTACTTGCTTTAACGAGTCCCTGGGGAGACTTTGTCAGCAACAGCCCTCAGTGGGGCCCATTAATGCTGAAGGCACTTGGGGCTTTGTTTCTGACTTGGACTTCTTGAGAGGTTTCCTCAGTCTCCTCTCAGCACCTGAGGATCACGGACCCAGCCCAAATACACCATGGGACTCATTAAACCCTGATGAGCCATGTCTCACCGTGTAGTTTTTGTCAAGTCTTCCAGATTGTCTTCCAGGGAACTGGGGAGGTTTCCGAGTGCAGGAAGATTACAAAGGGCATCTGATAGAAGTTATTTGAAAGGGTTATTTGAAAGGAAAATCTACGAAAGATGAGAGGAATGAAGGATGCAGTGTAACAGGCAGGACAGTGGCAGTGCAGTTACAGGGGAAGATCGGCATTCCTTTGGGATCCCCCTTGTGAAAGGTTATTGGATTGGTAGAGGTCTCTTGGGAGAGAGGACAAGGCCATGTTGCAGTTACCTTTGATAAAGGTGCCAAGGGCAACCCAGGGGAGCCCAGGCTGTACAAGCTGCCTTTGGTGAGGCGTGTGCCAGCATCAGAGTCCTCTTGGGTGACACCTCTGGGCACCTAAAAGCCGTCCGAAGGGTAACTGCTGCCTGGCCAAGCTGAGAGCCTGCAGTTGTGCGTGAGGAGGCAAAGAGTGGATGTGGTTTCCCTCAGCTTCAGCACAGCTCTTGGCACGGTCTCCCTCAAGGCTGCTGTACCCAAGGGGTACACCACAGACATAACAATCCTCCTGTCCTTCTACTTATCAGTTAGTTTAACTGCAGCCCATCCTGGACACCTGCCATTCCCAGATACCCCTTATCTCTGTGTGCTGTTCTTCTAGCCTGTTTTTCTTACACTCATTTTGTACTAAGGTCATAAGAGCCTAAAACTATGTCAGCTATAATGGTTTATCTTACATGAGAAAGAATTCTCAGCCTGTTCTCTAGCCGTGCTCTGTTTTTTTTCTGTGTATCATGCACCTCAGTAATTTTCCATTGCTACTGTTACAAAGCCATCAAACAACATTACTTAAAACTGATTCTAAAGGTATATATATTTCATTTTGTAATGTTTTGCCTCCCCCCTTGTCTCAAATTCCCCCTTTTTATGTCCTTTTGCAAATTCTTTTGCAACATTTTTTATATTACCATTACCATCTAAAGACTTTTTGAAATAATTTCCCGTTTCTACTTGGTGCTTAATTTCGTTCCTTTGCCAATCGTCATAATTGATCATAGACCATTTACAACAGCAGAGGGAACATTGTATCATACCACAAGTAATCAATATTAAAACAAATAACATCAATATTCCTCAACCAGGAGAGGTTCAGGTAACCATGAAGTTATTTTTTTCCATATTTCTTCAAAACCCCAGGAGGTGTCATCCATGGCCATTTCATGAAATATCTTAGTTTGTTTCCAAATTTCCTCCAGATCTGTTTTGATTCTGCCACTTCAGTCTGTATAGGAACAACAACTTTCATTGATTATGGAAGAAACCCCTCCTTGTCATGCCAATAACATGTCTAGAGCTTTTCAGTTTTGTAATACCACTTTAGACAGGCTGGTTATCTCTTGTTGTTCTGCCTGAATTATATGAATGTTTTTGCTTTCCATTTCCTCTATGGTTGCTGAGATATTTACAATTGCCTTCTCTAATTCACTTACTCCCAAAGATGGAATTAGCCCTCTTACAAAACTATGAAATGCAGTGTGCCATTCAATAATAGGGTTAAACCCTCTCTTAATCCGCTTAGCAAAACTTCTAATCCAGGTCCCAGAAGGATACCTGTTGATAATAGTAAAATTGGGTATTACAGCACCTAAGGTGCATGCCTCCTTCCAGCTGGGGGGCAGAGTCTTATAAGCATTTTCTCCACATAACCAGTACCTTTAGGAACAGGCCATCACTGAACTACAATACCATCTATATTAATAGCACGATCGCAATTTGAATGGTGACCTACATCTGTGGCATTGAAACAAGCATGATCTCCTACCCTGGTTCCTGGTGTAATACATCTTTGTGCACAGGTGTAATGTTTATTACCTGGATTAGGATTAACTATTCCAAAGTTTAACCTTTCCTTCGAATACAGATTGCTAGTGTTCACTCACAAATTTGTCCATGAGGCAGTGTTTGGAATTGGAAATCCAATTAATGGGAGATCCAGGCTTTCTCCTGATTTAGGCAACTGTGCACACACCCAATAGTCAGTACGATTAAAAACATTAGTAATATTCTGCACTAACTTCAAGTGTAAATTCTGGTCCCAAGCTCGTGCGCCAGTTATCATATGAGTCCAAATTATGACCGACGCAATTTCATACGTAAGGGTCCTGAAGGTTCGATCCGCCATGTCTTCTGTAGCTCTGGTGCTTTCTTAATTCTTGAATGATGTATCCAAGCAGGTTGTTCCTTTATCTTCACTGCTGTAAAGGTGGTCAGTAATATTGTAGGGGAGTCGTAGAAGAGTCATAGTGTTGTAGAGGAGGCATAGAGGAGTCAGATGGCTAACAGACAGCTCATAGAGCAATCTTAGGAGTCATAGTAGAGTCACAATGGGGGTCATAGAGGGGTCATAGAGGCATCATAGTGGCATCATAGAGGTGTCATAGAGGAGTCATAGAGGAGTCTTAGGGGAGTCATAGAGGAGTCATAGAGGTGTCATAGAGGAGTCCTAGAGAAGTCATACAGGAGTCCTGGATGAGTCATAGAGAGGTCATAGAGCAGTTGTAGAGGAGTCATGGAGGGGTCATAGAGGACTCATAGATGGGTCATTGAGTGGTCATAGAGGAGTCACAGAGGGGTCATGGAGAAGTCATAGAGGAGTCATAGAGGTGTCATGGAGGATTCATGGAGGAGTCATAGAGGAGTCTGAGAGGAGTCTTGATGTCAAAAGTCACAGAGGTGTCATCGAGAAGTCATAGAGCAGTCATACAGCAGTAACAATGTAGTCATAGAGGAGTCATGGACAAGTCATAGAGGAGTCATAGTGACATAGAGGAGTCACAGAGGTGTCATAGAGGTGTCCTAGAAAAGTCAGAGAGGAGTCACAGAGGAATCAGAGAGTCATAGGGCAGTCATAGAGAAGTCATAGAGTCATAGAGGAGTCACAGAGGTTTCATAGAGGTTTCATAGAGGAGTCATAGAGGAGTCATAGACGGGTCATAGACGGGTCATAGAGACGTCACAGAGGCATCATAGAGGTGTCATAGAAAAGTCATCCTGTCCAAGACTCATAGAGGATTCGGAGAGGAGTCATAGAGTCATAGAGTCATGGAGGTGTCATAGAGGACTCATAGAGGAGTCGTAGAGGAGTCGTAGAGGAGTCATAGTGTTATAGAGGAGTCATAGAAGAGTCGGGGGCTCATTGACGACTCAGAGGAGTCATAATAGTCATAGTGGAGTCAGAGGGGTCATAGATGCGTCATAGAAGCATCATAGATGTGTCATAGAGGAGTCATAAAGGTTTCATAGAGTTATAGAGGAGACATTCAGGAATCATAAGGGAGTCATAAAAGAGTCATAGAAGAGTCATAGAGGAGTCATAGAGGAGTCAGAGGAGTCAGAGGAGTCATAGAGGACTCATAGAGGGGTCATAGAGAAGTCATAGAGGAGTCATAGAGGAGTCATACTGTCCTAGAGTCAAAGAGGGGTCATAGAAGAGTCATAGTGTCATAGAGTCATAGGGGTGTCATAGAGCAGTCAAATATCAGTCATAGAGGAGTCATAAAGGAGTCATAGAGGAGTCATACAGCATTCACAGGGGAGTCATAGAGAGTCATAGAGAAGTCATAGAAGAGTCATGGAGGAATATGGAGGTGTCATAGAGGAGTTATAGAGGAGCCATTGTGTCATAAGGGCATAGTGGAGTCATAGACAGGTCGTAGAGAAGTCATAGAAGTTTCATTTAGTGGTCATAGAGGAGTCATAGAGGGGTCATGGAGGAGTCATAGAGAAGTCATAAATTCATACATGTGTCATAGAGGAATCAGAGAGGAGTCACAGGAGTCATAGAGTAGTCGGAGAAGTCATAGTGGAGACATAGAGGAGACATAGAGTAATCATAGAGGTGTCATAGAGGAGTCATATAAGAGTCATGGAAGAGTCATAGAGGAGTCATAGAGGAGTCATAGAGGAGTCGGAGAGTAGACATAGTATTACAGAGTTATAGGGGTGTCATAGAGGAGACAGAGGACTCAAAGAGGATTCATAGAGGAGTCATAGTGTCTCAGAGGAGTCAGAGAGGAGTCAGAGAGGCATCAGAGAGGTGTCCTAGAGGAGTGCTAGAGGAATCCTAGAAAAGTCCTAGTGGAGTCTTAGAGGAGTCCTAGAGGAGTCATGGAGGGGTTATTGGGTGTTCATAGAGGAGTCTTAGACGAGTCATGGAGGATTCATAGAGGAGTCTTAGAGGGGTCATGGAGGAGTCATAGGGGCATCTTAGGATGGTCATAGAGCAATCATAGTGGAGTCATAGAGGAGTAATAGAGTCAAAGAGGAGTCATAGGGGAGTCATGGATTCATAGATGTGTCACAGAGCATTCATAGCGATGTCATAGAGGAGTCATAGAGTAGTCATTGTTCCATGAAGTCATAGAGGATTCATACAGGAGTCAGAGGAGTCATAGAGGAGTCGCAGAGGAGTCAATAAGGTGTCAGAGCAGTCAATAAGGAGTCCTACAGGAGTCATAGGGGAGTCATGGAGGAGTCATGGAGGAGTCATAGAGGAGTCATAGAGGAGTAATGGAGGTGTCATAGGGGAGTCAGAGAGTAGTCATAGTATCATAGAGTCATAGGGGTATCATAGAGGAGACAGAGGACTCAGATAGGATTCATAGAGGAGTCATAGTGTCGTATAGGAGTCACAGAGGAGTCATTGAGTAGTCACAGAGGAGTCATAGGGGAGTCATAGCAAAGTCATAGCCGAATCACAGATGAGTCATAGTGGAGTCATAGAGATGTCGTAGAGGAGTCCTAGCGGAGTCATAGAAGAGTCTAAGGGCAGTCATATAGGTGCCACAGAGGAGTCATAGAGTAGTCATAGTGGAGTCAGACTGGAGTCATAGTGGAGTCATAGAAGTGTCATAGAGGAGTCATAGCGGAGTCCTAGAGGAGTCATAGAAGAGTCATAGTGGAGTTTTAGTGGAGTCATAGAGGTGTCATAGGGGAGTCCTAGAGGAATCCTAGAATAGTCCTAATGGAATCATAGATGACTCATAGGGGAGTGTTAGAGGAGTTCTAGGGGAGTCATAGACGAGTCACAGAGGAGTCATAGAGTCAAAGATGAGTCATAGTGGAATCATAGAGGAGTCATTAAGGAGTCAGAGAAGTGTCACAGAGGAGTCACAGAGGAGTCACGGAGGAGTCCTTGAGGAGTCATAGTGTCATAGAGGAGTCATAGAGGAGTGAAAGAGGAGTCAATGAGGGATCAGAGAGGAGTCAGAGAAGAGTCATAGAGGATTCATAGAGTTGTCATACAGGGGTCACAGTGGAGTCACAATGCAATCACATTATAGTTATAGAGGTGTCATAGAGGCGTCCAAGAGTAGTCACAGAGATGTCATGGAGGAGTCACAGTGTCATGGATATGTCATACAGATGTCCTAGAGGAGTCCAAGAGGAGTCCTAGAGGAGTCCTAGTGGAGTCATATTGGAGTCAAAGTGTAGTCATAGTGGAGTCAAACAAGAATCACAGTTCAGTCATAGAGGAGTCATAGAGGTGTCACAGAGGAATCATAGAGTTACAGAACAGTCTTAGAAGGAGTCATAGAGGAGTCTTAGAGGAGTCAAAGAGGAGTCATAGTGGAGTCAAACAGGAGTCACAGAGGAGTCCCAGAGGAGTCACAGGGGAGTCATAGAGTTATAGAGAAGTCCTACAGGAGTCCTAGAGGAGTCAAAGAAGAGTCATAGTGGAGTCAAAGAGGAGACATAGTGTAATCATAGAGGAATCAAAGAGGAGTCACAGAGGAGTCATAGAGTCATAGAGGAGTCATAGAGGAGTCATAGGAGAGACATGAATGAATCATAGTGAAGTCATAGAGTCATCAAAGAGGTGTAATATAGGCGTCAGAGAGGAGTAGATGAGTCATTGAGGAGTCATATTGTTATAGAGGAGTCATAGAGGAGTCATAAAGGAATCATAGTGGAGTCATAGGGGCGTCATAGAGGCGTCATAGAGACGCCTTAGAGGAATAATAGATCAGACATAGAGGCGTCAATGAGCGGTCATAGAGGAGTCATAGAGGTGTCATAGAGGAGTCAGAGTCGAGTTAGAGAGGAGTCAGAGAGTCATAGAGTAGTCATAGTGTCATAGAGGAGTCATAGATTCATAGAAAAGTCATAGAGGAGTCACAGAAAGTCATAGTGAAGTCATAGAGGACTCAGAGAACTCATAGAAGACTTGTAGAGGAGTCATGGAGGAGTCATGGCGGAGTCTTAGATGAGTCATAGTGGAGTCATAAAGGATTCGGAGAGGAGTCATAATGACATAGTGTCATTTAGCTGTCATAGAGGAGTCATGGAGTCAAGGAGGAATCAGAGAGTCATAGAGGGCTCATAAATCAATAGAGTGTTCATAGAGTCAAAGAGGAGTCATAGAGAAGTCATATTGTCATAGAGGATTCATAGTGTCATAGAGGAGTCATAGAGGAGTCATAGAGGAGTCATAGAGGAATCATAGAGGAGTCAGAGGAGTCATACAGGGCTCACAGTGGAGTCCCGGTGGAGTCAAGGTGGAGTCATAGAAGAGTCATAGATGAATCATAGAGGTGTCTTAGAGTCATAGAGGAGTCATAGAGGTGTCTTAGAGTCATAGAGGAGTCGTAGCATCATAGAGGAATCATACTGTCATAGAGGAGTAATCCAGGCGTCATAGAGGCATCATAGAGGCGTCCAAGAGGAGTCATAGACGCGTCATAAAGGAGTCATAGAGGAGTCATAGAGGAGTCATAGAGCAGTCCTAGAGGAGTCCTAGAGAAGTCATAGTGGAGTCAAAGAGGAGTCATAGTGGAATCATAGAGAAGTCACAGAGGAGTCACAGAGAAGTCATAGAGGAGTCATAGTGTCATAGAATAGTCAGAGAGGTCAATGAGGGGTCAGAGAGGAGTCATAGAGGCTTCATAGATGCATCAGAGGCATCCAAAAGGAATCATAGACGAGTCATTCACGAGTCATAGAGGAGTCATAGAATCATGGATGTATTATAGAGAAGTCCTAGAGGAGTCCTAGAGGAGTCCTAGATGAGTCTTAGAAGAGTCATAATGGAGTCATAGGGGAGTCTTAGATGGGTCATAGAGGAGTCAAAGAGGAGTTAGAGAGGAGTCACAGAGGAGTCACAGAGGAGTCATAGAGTTACAGAGGAGTCATAAAGGAGTACTGGGGAGTCATACAAGAATCATAGTGGAGTCATAGAGGCGTCATAGTGATGTCATAGAGGCATCTTTGAGGCGACATTGAGGCGTCATAGATTAGTCATAGATGTGTCATAGAGGGGTCACAGAGAGCTCAACGAGGGGTCAGAGAGGAGTCAGAGAGGAGTCCTAGAGGAGTCTTAGAAGAGTCATAGAGGAGTCATAGAGGAGTCATGGTGGAATCATAGAGGTGTTGTTCAAGTGTCAGAGAGGATTCATGGAGAAATCACAGCGGCGTCACAGAGGAGTCATAGAAGAGTCATAGAGGAGTCATAGAGGAGTCATACAAGGGTCATAGAGGAGTCATAGTGGAGTCATAGAGAGGTCATAGAGGAGACATAGAGGAGTCAGAGAGGAGTCATAGATTTATAGAGGATTCATAGAAGAGTCATAGGGGAGTCATATAAGAGTCATTGAGGAGTCATAGAGGAGTCCCAGTGGAGTCTCAGTGGAGTCACAATACAGACACAGTGGAGTCATAGAGGCGTCATAAAGGTGTCATAGAGGCATCATAGAGGCGTTCAAGAGGAGTCATAGAGGAGTCATAGAGCAGTCATAGAGGAGTCAAAGAAGAGTCATAGAGTAGTCATAGAGGAGTCATAGAGGATTCATAGATTTGTAATGGAGGAGTCATGTAGGAGTCATAGAGAAGTCATAGAGGAGTCACAGAGGAGTCATAGAGGAGTCATACAATGGTCACAATCTAGTCACAGTGGAGTCACAGAGGAGTCATACGACGGTCACAATCTAGTCACAGTGGAGTCACAGAGGAGTCATAAAAGCTTCATAGAGGCATCATACAGGCGTCATAGAAGCATCACAGAGTTGTCATAGAGGTGTCCAAGAGGAGTTATAGACGAGTCATAGACAAGTCATAGAGGAGTCATAGAGCATTCAAATATCTGTCATAGAGGAATCATAGTCATAGAGTTATAGAGGAGTTATAGAAGAGTCATAGACAAGTCATAGAGGAGTCATAGAGCATTCAAATATCTTTCATAGAGGAATCAGTCATAGAGTTATAGAGGAGTTATAGACTAGTCATAGAGGAGTCATAGAGCATTCTGCTTCCTCCCAGCTTCCCCTCCTCCCTGGCAGAGCATGAGCCTCACAGAGTCCTTGGTCAGGGTAAACATCACTTAGTAACAACTGAAAACATCGACTTCACCAACACTGTTCCCAGGCTGGAAGTCAAAACACAGCACTGTACCAGCTACTACAAAGGAGAAAAAAAAAACAACATGACTGCTGCTGCTGAACCCAGGACATTATCCACCCCTTATTCCATACCATTCATGTCGTGCTCAGATCCCACATTTTCAATACACCATCGCTCTCCCATATATATACACCCATATACATACAGACCAAGAGGAAAAGATAATTTTCTTAGTGCATGGACCAATCCCTATATTCGGTCCATGATGTTCAAAGTTCATTCTCTGTTGGGATGACGGCTGGAGGGAAGTCAGGGCCAGTCGCTGGTGACCTGGAGACATCTAGTTGATGGGCTATAAAAGCATTATACAGCAGGCAACAGCATACAATTGAGTTCACTGGCTGTTTTCCCCTAAAATCAAATCCCCTTGAGGTATACATCGGACTTCCCCATCTTCCCGCATTACCCACCAAGTATATCCAGGTCCCTGAGCAAAAGCAATCCCACGAGTGGGTTTGCCTTTACCTGAAGCAGGAATTACCCCTGAAGCAGGTCTTCCCCAGCAAATTCTTCATATGCACCACGGGAACTTTGTCCCCCTCTACAAGATGTAAAAGTTCTGACTGGGCTGGGCCAGCCCTGTTGGCAGATCCTCTGGTGTTGACCAACCAGGTGGCCTTTGGTAAGTGTGTATCCCAATGCTTGAAAGTTCCCCCACCCATCGCTCTCAGTGTAGTTTTTAACAGCCCATTGTACCGTTCGATTTTCCCAGAGGCTGGTGCATGGTAGGGGATGTGATATACCCACTCAATGCCATGCTCTTTGGCCCAAATATCTATAAGGTTATTCCGGAAATGAGTCCCATTGTCTGACTCAATTCTCTCTGGGGTGCCTTGTCGCCACAAAATCTGTTTCTCAAGGCCCAGGATGGTGTTCCGGGCAGTGGCATGGGGCACAGCGTATGTTTCCAGCCAGCCGGTGGTTGCTTCCACCATGGTAAGCACATGGCGCTTGCCTTGGCGGGTTGGTGGCAGTGTGATATAATCAATCTGCCAGGCCTCCCCATATTTATACTTCAACCATCGTCCTCCATACCAAAGAGGCTTTAACCGCTTGGCTTGTTTAATTGCAGCACATGTTTCACACTCATGAATAACCTGGGCAATAGTGTCCATTGTTAAGTCCACCCCTCGGTCACGGGCCCATCTATATGTTGCATCTCTGCCCTGATGGCCTGAAGTGTCATGGGCCCACCGGGCAAAAAATAATTCACCTTTATGTTGCCAATCTAAGTCCATCTGAGCCACTTCAATCTTAGCCGCTTTATCCAATTGTTGGTTGTTCTGGTGTTCCTCAGTGGCCCGACTCTTGGGTACATGGGCATCTACATGACGTACCTTCACCACCAGGTTCTGCACCCTGGCAGCAATATCTTTCCACAGTGCAGCAGCCCAGATGGGTTTACCTCTGCGTTGCCAGTTGCTCTGCTTCCATTGCTTCAACCACCTCCACAAGAATGTCTCTCCTGAACCTTCAAGAGCTTCCAGCCTATTTTCATCAGATGATGTTCTTAACTTGCACCAATGTGCTGCTTTTATATCTCTCCCTGCAGGTCTTTGCAGGCAACAGACACAAACACTTGGGGAACAAGTGTTTGTCACGGTTTTGGCGACAGTTCAGGGCTCTAAGACACATGAACCTTGGTTGTATATTGCTGGCCCCTGAATGAGAACCCATGAGTCACAACAGCCTAAACTACTAATAAAGGCTTAGCTTTAGATTGGATCTAAGGAAGAAATTCTTTCCTGTTAGTGTGGTGAGGCACTAGAATAGGGTGCCCAGGGAGGTTGTGATTGCTCCATCCCTGGCAGTGTTCAAGACCAGGTTGGATGAGGCCTTGGGTGCCATGGTTTAGTGTGAGGTGTCCCTGCCCATGGCAGGGGGGTTGGAACTTGATGATCTTAAGGTTCTTTCCAACCCTAGCTGTTTTATGATTCTATGATTCTATGCACACAGGCTGATGGAATATCTCTTCTAATTATTGTCACAAAGATGTCTAACCTGTTACAACATTCAGCATAAGAACAGTGACCTCCTAGATGTCCTTTCTGAACAATAACTATGTCCTGCGGTCTTCATGGTAACATCAGGTTGCTCCTGGCCTCATTCACCTTTGAATATGAGGGGGAATCCCTCCCCAGGCTGCAGCTTCACAAGAGATTTCACTTCAAAGAAGGGAATTGTGAGCAATGGAATTCATAACTGAGAATGATGAACTGTGCTGAGACCACCCAGTGGTAAGGAGAATTTGGGCACATCAAGGGCTCATCCCATTCATATTAAGGGGTGTTGTACATTCATCTTAAATCCTATTTACTTAAATGGTGAGATAAATAGAAATAAGCTGGAAATAAGCACCCACATGCCATGTCCATGACCAGCTCATGCTAAAGCACACAAGGAAAAACCAGATTGTCTATGTCACTTACAAATTAAGCCTGTTGATGGTGACTTAGGTCGGGGGAAAAGTGTCTTCTACTTGTGGTCAACAAAGGAGCCACAATCAATGCAATTAAATGCTGAAAAGTTAGGAAGGACAGAGGCCTTTGAAATCAGACCAGAAAATAACACTTGAATGTAATGTTTGATTTCTCACTCTACTTTCCCTCACTGAATAGACTATCTCCTAAGTTGCCCATGTAGGGATAGGATCTGGGTGGAGAGGGACTGGCAGAACGGTGAGCAGTGGCTGGGCTGTTGGGTGCAGAGGGTGAGAGATTCTAGTCTGCAGGAGCCCAGAGACTGCCACAGGGGTTTGTCTTCTAAATCTGTCTAAACAGAACCAAAAGAGAATGCCATGGGGTGCAGGACCCATCCCACAGTATCTGAGCAAGAGCAGGAGGGCAGGAACAGAGACCTGGGACAAGCCAACACAGATCAAATCAATCCCCCGATCACGACCAGGTTCAGCAATTGCTAGGAAGATACATGAACAAGCTTTGGTCACCATCAAAGGATTCCATAGATGTGCACAACTCCTGCTAAAACGAAAACAAAAACTCAAAAATAGCCCAACTTCCCTGGGCTGAGCTTATATAGAGATGAAGAGTAAATGGGTGGAGGGTAGGGATGAAGTCCCAGCTGAGGCTGCTCAGGGGAATAAAGGCCTATTAGTTCACCCTGGGACAATTCATCACTGCTTCAAATGCCCGTTTCTCATCCTTCAATACAGTGGAAGCCCTAAAGCACAAGCTCAGGTGTTGGACATCCAGGCACTATATGTGGATAATCCCACTGGGGCTCAAGTGTTCACAGAGGGATATCAGCAGCAGCTCCAGAGAAGGAGTCACTTGTGGTTCCTGTCGCATTTAGGGACCCTCTACAAGATCTGAAATGTCTCTAAACCCATCCTCATTCTTTTGGCAAAGAGAGATAGAATGCTTGGCATAATACACAAGTATGTCAGAAGCATCCCTTCATGACTCTCAGATGCCCAAGCACCACAATGCCTTTCAGAGGTGATTTCACACCCTTTGCTTTTCCTTCTCTTTGTTTTCCTCTGGGAAAGCATGAGCAGCCCTGGAGGCTTCCTCCCAGGAGAGCACATGCAACTGTATTTACAGCCCCAGCACCACAAGCTGGGCTCTTGGAGTCTGGCAGGAGCTCCCTTCTCTTCACATCAGGTGCTTAACAGAGCTGATGCCGGTACGTAGATGTTCTCTGCTGCGTTGGGGATAAATCCTTGGCTCCCATCACTCGGTGGCAGAGGGAAGGCACAGGAGGTAACACCAACACAAATCAGAGCCTCACCTGCAGTGAGGTAGTGGGTTTGCTTCTTCATGTTCTCTCGTCCTCTTTGGTAAAGCTGTGTCAGAAAACAGCCTTACCAATGTGGGTTTTCTTTATAAGAAGAGGGAGCAATGTCTGATGCAGGTTGTGTTTCTTTTACATCAGCAGCTAAAGCAAGATGAACTGATTTATTCAAAAGAATCTTATTCTGTTATAAAGAAATGCAGCATTTCAGATTGTCAACAGAATATGGTCACTAACAAATCAGCCTTTGGATTCAGCCTCTTATAACATCAACTCTTTTTTAGGTCAAGCAACATAATGCCCATAGGTGTGAAGGTGCTTCAGCATGCTGGAACTCAGAAAGGTATAAATCATGACTTTAGCAATGTGAATGTTATCCTTTTTGAATTATGTATAACACTTTGATAAATGCAATCTGAAGACTGGCATTAGAACTAAAAACCAAAGGAAAATTCTGGAGGTCATTAATGTGTAAGCTACCATTTCAATGGGAATGTGACTTTCTCTTGCTCAAGGTTTATGTGTGCTCCTATGAGGTTCCTCTAAGCTGTCTTCTGACACAAACTGCCTCCAATCTGAAAGTGAGTAAAGATCTGATTCTTCACTCAAACCTGAAAAATCAGGTGCTTGAATAAATCCATAGTTTATGTTTCTCAGCATAGAAGAACAAAAATGGCAGTTTTTGCTTCATCGCACTCTCTGTTCTTTTCCAAATACCTCAAATGAAAACCAAAATCATATAATTTGGGTTTAAAAAATACAATACAAAATATTAATTCCACCAAAACATAGCAGTTAAACTGGTGATCGATTGTAGTTAAATGTGGTCCAAAAGTGAATTTCTGTTTGCAATGATTTTGATGTTTTCCTTCCTTTTGCCTTGGTAGGTAACACCTGGTCATGAGAGGAAATCACACGCAGACTAAACTCATCCTGTTGGGAATTACAGACAGCCCATATGCACAGACCCCTCTTTTAGTCTTGTTTCTATTGATTTACATTGTCACTTTGGTGGGGAACTTTGGCATTATCATCTTGGTGCGGGTCTCCCAGCCTCCACACCCCCATGTACTTCTTCCTCACCCATTTTGCCTTCACTGACATCTGCTATTCCACAGTCTTCTGCCCCAGGATGCTGGCAGACCTGTTATCAGAGGACAAAACCATTTCTTTCACTGCCTGCATGATGCAGTTCCTCACCTTTGCATTCTTTGCTGCCATTGAGTGTCACCTCCTGGCCATGATGGCCTATGATTGCCATGTTGCTATCTGCCAGCCCCTGCTTTATGTGACCATCATCTCCAGCCATGTCTGCTGGCAGCTGGTAGTATCATCCTACCTATTCGCCTTCCTCAGTGCCATTGTCTACACATGGTGCGTGTTTGGAGGTTCCTTCCGTGGTCCCAACCGCATTGACCACTTCTTCTGTGACAAAGTTCCTGTGCTGAAGCTCCTGTGCTCCGACACCCACAGCAGCGAGATGCTCATCTTTGCCTTCGTCACCATCACCTTAGTGGGCACAAGCGTGGTCATTTTACTCTCCTACATCTCTATCATCCGCACCGTGCTGAGGATGTGCTCAGCACAGAGCAGGGCCAGAGCCTTCCACACCTGCGCCTCCCATTTGATGGCTGTTTCTATATTCTTTGGGACAGGATTCTTCATGTACCTACAACCTTCTTCTAGCCATAGGAGCCTGGATAAGGTGGCCTCCGTCTTCTACACCGTGGTCACCCCAATGCTCAACCCATTCACCTACAGCCTGAGGAACAAGGAGGTGAAGGGGGCTCTGCTGAAGTGTGGGAGGAGGATGTTCAACCACTGACAACAAGCAAGACTTGTATCATGCAGGACATGAATACTCTACATTAAGTGAGAACGCCTAAACTAATGGGATTTTCCACTAATCCTCATGACACTGTGTAGCTCTTTCACAGTTCCTGCACAATAGTCAGAGTATTTAATGAGAAATAGAACCCCCATCGCATCTTCCTTGGAAGGAAACCAAGAGGAGCAGGAACCTCAAACTTCATTTCACTTCTCAGCCACCAGCGTGTAGGAAGAGATTACCTTGAATTATCCCAGGCTTCTTTTTCCTCACAGGAAACACCAATTAGCTTTATTCAATTCTCACTTTTGTCACTGATAAATATCCACTTTTTTTTTGCAAGATTCTTGACCTTGTCCCTCAGCTCCAATATGTGTAATATGTGTTTCTGTGTTTAAATATATATATGTGTGACAGAGGAATACAAATAAAACGTATAAAACTGGTATTACAAATAAAGTGACACAGATAGACTTAGAGAATCACAGAATTGTTTAGGTTGGAAAAGACCTTTAAGATCATCCAGTCCAACCATTCCCCAGCACTGCCAAGGCCACCACTAACCCATGGCACTAAGGGCCTTGTCTACACGGTTTAGGACACTTGTAGGAATGGTGACCCCAGCTCTGCCCCGGGCAGCCTATTCCAATGCCTGAGCACCCTTTTAGATATTTCCTGAAGTCAGCTGACTGGGAGGGTACTGTCCAAATGGAAGGTGGTAGCAGTGATCCTTCAGCAAGAAGGATTTGTTGGAAGCCTGCTGCAGTGTTTGGCTATGGGGATATGTTGGCTTTTGATCAGCCCTGGGGAAAACATACCTAGCATCTACACTGGATATAACTGTATAGGGGATTTTCCCACTGATTTTCCCACTGGATTCCAGTATTTAAGCTCATTTTATAAATTCATACTGTCGTTGTTTCTATTTTTCCCCAAGAAAGTGATTTCTTACTTTCTAATCTTTTTACTACTACCTTCGGTTTCCTTTGCACAAGCATACGGGCCCTTTGAAGAGGCAGCGAGATCAAAGGAAGCTGACAGAGCCAGTTGTATTTAGAATTCCCATGACATTTCCCATGACAATTCCA